TTTTCTTTTCTTTTTAATTAAAAATGAATCAACACTAAAATGTAATAAAATAATAATTTAATTTGACATATCGGGTGGAGTATAAAGCTGTGTAAGATGTCAAATTGCCACATCAGCCATCAAATTTAAATTTGATGTTTGGTATTTGACATCTCCCTTGGAGATGCTCTTAGTTTGGATTATTGTATGTTGAAAGCATGTTGGCTGTTGGGATTTATATTATGTAAATTATGCAGGTTGAATGTTGTTGGGTTTGAGCATTTTACAGGGGAGACTCTGCCAAAATTTTGATAGGATGTCTCGGGTTTTAGTAAGTGGGCCGGCATCAGTGTGATGTCGGCACCAAGACGAGGTCCGCCTCGGTTTCAGGAGAAATTCTGGGGCGGGTCCTGTCAAAAAATAAATAAAGTTTTGTTTTTTTTAACTCTAGAGCTGAGCATTTTTGCCCAAACTCAGCATTGCAGTTTTCATTTTTGTATTGCCGTTTCCATTTTTGTATTGTAGTTTCCATTTTTGTATTGTAGTTTCCGTTTATGCATTGCAGTTTCCACTTCTACATTGCAATTTCCGTTTCTGCATCGTAGTTTCCATTTTAGCACTTTCATCTTGGTTCCTCCATTTTGCTTCAATAAAATTAATTTTTGTTTTTGTAGCTGTTTTCGTTTTTGTTTTATGTTTTTGACATTAGATGACTCCTACTTGCGGTCGAGAGGGTACAGCTACTTGTTAGCTCGACGTCCAAGCCCATTGGAGTAGAGACACTCGCCTAATCCCTGACGACTTAGCCCGGTTTTTGTACTTGTTACGTTCCATAATCAATAAATACTACTGCCTTTAATAAAAAAAATAAAAAATAAAAACATAATTGATATCTACATTGTATTTTTGTTGCAGTTTCTGTTTTTATTTGCAGTTTTTGTGTGAATAAGTGTTGAAATGATTTTTTTTTTTTTTTTTTTTTAAACCCATTGATTGTTTATATAAATATTGTATAACTAAATAAATATTACAAAATCAAGTTTGGTGTAGTAGTTTGTGAGTGAGCCTTCCTCCCTTGAGGGTCAAGGTTTGAGTCCCTTAAATGACACAAAACCTTTTTTTTTTTAAAGGTTCGAGTCCCTTATACTAATTAAATTAAATTGTATTCCTATCTTCCAAATTAGTAACTATATTGTCTTTTAAAACTAAAGCTCCTTTTTATTTTTTTGTAAGGTTTTCTATACGGATTCCTTTCTATACATACCGCTTTTACTCAATAAGATATTCTAGCCTACAGTTATTTATTTATTGTGACACTAATATCATCAATCAAGGATAATTAGCCACACGTATATACTGCCATCATAAATTAACAAATTATATCTTTATATGGGACTCGTTTCAAAGGGCTGGTTGCTGAAACTCCAAGAGTGCAACCAGAAGCTGCGCCTTCTGCACCCCATCACCAACCGCCAATTTTGAGAGAGAGATAGAGAGAGAGAGAGAGATTCTTACTATCTTGAAATTTTGAGAGAAATTCTTGTTTGATAGTATCTTAGATCGAGAAATAAATGGAGAAATTGGAGGAATCTTTTCCATTGACAAGGAGGGTCTCATTAAAGCAAGAATATATATTTTCCAATTTTCAGTATTAGTAAAGTTTGCATGCTTGTAGTAAAAGTTATTCTGCTTATGAATGGTCGACGTCGTTATTGTTTGACTGGAAAGTCAATAGGCAAGCAAGTCAGATAATAAATAAGGTAATGAGTTGCAAGGAGTATTAGGACCGTATCAATATCTCAAACTCCATATCTACACCAATATATTCCAAGTATCTGTGCACCTTTTTTTTTTTTTTTTTTTTTTTTTTCTGTCTGACAAAGTTCAAACACACGCCTTGGTAATCGACTAACCTTTGGTTTAACGATAGTAGTCTCTCTCTCTCTCTCTAAAATAAAAATAAAAATGATACGTATATAGTGTCATTCACATGATTTGAGGAGATGAGTTCTATTCAGGTGGATACAATGACAATGTATTTGTGATTAGTTTGATACCTAATTTGGTTCACCCCGTTTTGTACACCATTATAACAAACTGGCTCAGCGACCATGCTAATTTTCCTGAGATCCCGCCTTGAAGGCTAGTT